CAATAAATTTCAACCAATAATAAATAACATCTTTAAAAGAGTGTGGGATAACTAGTTATCTTTTTTTTTTATTTTAATATTCAATGGTCCTAGAATTTGTTAGATTTGATTTATGTTTGATTCTTTTTTCTCACAGGCTGAGAAAATTGCATCAAGAATGATTTACGAGGATAGGATGAGGGGATCTATCGATCAGGTATAAATAACCATTGCGACCTCTGTTTATGAAAGTACTGCAAGGCAATAAAAATAATTATTGAAGGAATCTTCTTCTTGGACTGCTGTATTGGAACTAAGGGGTATGATGGAAGGGGAGAGTTATTAGCTGTTCTGAGAGCAAGGAAAACATTATTGCAAGGTTCTCTTAAGAAGTTATGATTAATTTTTGTGTGATTTATTGCAGGTGGAAGCTGTCATACATTTTGACGATGACACTGAAGAATTGCAGCGATGGGACCAACAGGTAATTTTCTTATAAATATCTGTTACCTATGGATGCGACGGCCATAGAGGTGGATTAAGTAAATAAACAGGGAATCTTACCCGCCCACATCTACTACAGCCACCTAAAATTTGTGAGGGTTTCAGTGGTACTGGTATATAGCACACTTCTGATTTTTTTCATAAAAAATATGAATAGCTTAAATTCTGAAAAATTGAACAGTCTTTCAATTATAATCTTTTGTTGATTAATTAATCTCGGCCTCGAATAAAAACTTGATTTTGAGAAAGTTTTCGATATAGTCTATTCCTATGTCCATCAAGAAATGGAGAATTGGAAAAACAAGGGTTAATGGTGTCTAGTCCTTGTCTTTTATAACCGCAATTTTTTTTTATCGCTTATAGTTTAGTTTTAGAGATTGGTGTTTGGGTATTCAAAAAATATAAGAACAGAAACTTATGGTTTTAGAAGTTGAGGACTAAAAATCAAACTAAAAACAACACATTTTTCAGGGACTACAACACCATTAACCTAAATAGCTAACTATGCTACATTTTGTGCTTAAATGTACTTTTAAAATGAACACTCGCTTTAGAAACCTTCAATAGTTCAATTACCTCAACCTTTTACTAATGTGATGATTCGCGTTGCAGATTGTGGGCCTATGTCAGGCCCTGAACGATGTTTTGGATAGCATGGCCAAGAAGGGTTTTCCAGTTCCTGTTTAACGTGGATCATTGACAATTTCTTTGTTTATACATTCTTAGTAAAGCGTCTTTTTTTTCTTTCTTTTGTTGATTTTTTGTGAACTTTACTATACAAACGATACCATTAATTTCCTCATATATTAGATTCCAAATTCTGTTTACCCAAGAGATTGTTTAATTACTGATTCTTAATGAGTTTCTGAAGTACAACTTGTTTGTGCTTTCGAGACATTTTTGAGATTAGATGATGTTTACTCATTTCTTATCTATTGCATTTGATCAGCAATCTTATTTATTAACGAATAAGATTGTGTTTCATTAGTTTTAATAAACATCTGTAGGCAATTCAAGGGGAAAAATCTGGAAGAATTATTCTATTCATTTCGTTATTTTCAAACAATTCAAATATGAAGTATCATAGTTATGACACAAGAATACCGATGTCCAGTTATCCACTATAAGATGATGCATTCATTTTTATAGTAAGACATGGTAGGAATAATATTTAGTATATTAATATAAAAATATAAATCTTATATCAAGATAAAGATAATATTTTATATTCACAAGTTAAATGTAATTACTGTTGATATAACGATTTCTTTTTCATTTACTTAATTAGTATATTTAATTCTTACTTTTATATTGGTATATGAGTGAAAATAAAAGATATAATACTAATTTTGCATTGTTATATCATTTATAACATTTTCTTCTCTTTTTCTTACAGCCGCGTTTGTAAGAAAATATGTACGCCTTTTTTCAGTAATTGATTGAGAGAAATGCTAGTAATATATATATATATATATATATATATATTGTTTTATTGGTTAAATTTTTTTAAAAATATTTATACATTTTATCTCTTTAATGAATTTTATTTCTAATTTTATAGTTTTTAATAAATTTTAACTGGTAATAAAAATGTATTAAAGAAATATATTGTACCACTATTTTGCAGTTTCAGTGCTTCATATTCATAACAATACAGATAGCTTGGATAGTATTCTTGGGGAAAAGAAAATTCATTGAAAGTTCATCCACTAGAGTCACAGGTTGGTTTGAATTTACACAGTATATTTACTGAACTGACCTAAATATGAATTACAAAGTATACATAAACTAAATGCGTGTTTGGCTAAGCGTCCTGTGGCACAAAATATTCACGTCCAGATCTCAAATTTATGCGGAAGCCGCGAGACGTGAAAAATCACGTCACAGAATTCAAACCAAACGTCCTATAAGAGTAATCTTGTAGAATGTGTTTGAAGTAAATTGTGTGCAATAAAGAGATGCAAATTTTACCATTTAATTTAATGACATGACTCCCTATTTGTATCTAGGTTGGAGCAGCAAAGCTTACTTGTTCCACAAAACGAAAGCAATCAGAAATGTTTACCATAATGAAGCCCATGAATATGATGCCAACGAGAACCCCAGCAGCCACTGCACAACACTTGTTCCCAACTCTACTCTCTCTTCTCTCTTCTCTTTCCAAACCATTATCCTTCCTTGTTTTTATAAGTATGCCACCATCAAACTCCACAAGCTCATTATCTCCACCAAAGTCTTCCAAAAAGTCCTCAGCGTCTTCATAATCCAAAGATGCGAATTTATCAGATCCATTATTCTCTTCAAAAGCAGTCAATTCAGTTTCATCCCCATCATCGTTGAGACAGGAATCGGTGCAAGAGCAAGTAGAGTCTTTGTCAAGATCATGGAAGGGGAGTGTTCTGAAAGAGTCCCAATGATGAAACTCCCTCTCCATCGTGGCTAACCTCTCTGACACGTGGTGCAAGTGATGGGGTTTTGATGGATGAGATGCAACTTCGGCAGATAGCAGGTTCCCTATGAAAGCGAATCTCTGCTTTATGTCGTTAGAGATGGAGTCATGGGACTCAGTCTCGGGGCCAAGCAGCAATGCTTCATCTAGCATAGATTGGAGTTCTTCCAGTTCTGCCTCCACATTTTTGTAACTCTTTGTCATCTTCTTTATCTGTTTCTGTCTCCGTCGAAACAGTTCCACAATTGTGTTCTGTCTCATAGTTAGTAACTGTAAATGTAAACACTTACTCAACCGTTTTCTACCTTCCTACCACCAACAAAACTCCATGTTCCATTCTTCCTCCTTTTTTTTATACCTCTCTCACTTTTTAAATGAAAGTTATTGTCGTGCCAATTTTTTTAAAATTTACAATGATGCAACATATCAATTATATTTGCATTCATTTTGTATTATTATTTTTTAAGTAAATTATGTTACTTTTTCCTTGAGAAATAAGTGTATTACATTACTTTTTATTATATTAAAATATATAATTTAATTTATCTAACTCAACCTCATTAATATAATTTCGTGATACTATTTTTTATTTTTTGATGATCAAATTCAATGGTTACAATTTTTATTAAATTAATATATTTGAATATTGAGCTAAGTTTTAATATATTATTGCAATTTCTTATATTAAGCAACATTCCGTATATCTCCAATTTAAAAAATAAAATAAAATAATAATAAGAGGTTGCTTGAGAAAGTGTTTTAGAAGTAATTGTAAAAATAAAGTAAAAAATTTTTATACATAAAAAAATGTTTTTTAATTAACTGCATTGAGTATAGATGTATATATACATTAGTTTTAGTTTAATTTTTTAAATACATGTTTATGTATACACATTTTCATCTTGTTACTTTCCGTGCCTCTGCTATCTATTCCGTTGCTAGTGCCTAGTGGTGAGATTTTACAAATTTTGTGAAGGAGTAATACGGTTTGTGCATACACATGTAACATATGAATGTGACATTCATGATCTATGATGATGGTGAGTGGAGGAAAAATATTAGACTTCGTAAGTGGAAGGATGAGTCATTTTAATGATTTAGGATATAATAATATTATTGAATTTAGTGTGTATCAATAATTGATTATCTAATTAAAATAATTTTAGATAAATATGATATTATGTTAGAATGTGAATTTAAATTTAATTTAATATTACTAAATCAGTTTATAAGATGAAAGTTATTTTTATTTATATATTCTATAACTGTCTTATCTCAAATTGTTAAGATTTAAATTTTTTTCAATATATATCAACAAATTAATTTCAAATAATTCAAAATATTTTATGCTAGTATATATATATATATATATATATAATTTTTAAAATGTAAATATTATATCTTTTATTTTACTTTATATATAATAAAAAACATTTTCATATGCTAAGAATTAAAATAAATATAAAATTTATATATTTAATAAACGAGAAGTTAAAAAATTTGAAATCTATACTAATATATAAAGGAGATATCCTTTTTGATAATTATGTTGGTCTTCACTTTTTTTGACCATTATACCTTTTTATGTTAAAAAATTAGAAAATATATTTTTTAATCAAATTTAAGAATTTGAAATTAATAAATAATTTTTATAATAATTATTTTTTATTTTTATTTTTATATAAATTATTTTATCCTTTATTTATTTTTTAATAATTATTTTTTATGAGTAATTTCTCATTTTTTTTAAATTTTTTTTAAATTTTTTTTAATACAATATAGGTACGAAGTGCCTTTTTCCTGCTAGTAAATATAAAATTAATGTGTTTTAAAATATATAATATAGTTTTCATTAGAATATATTTTAAAAAATGATCTTTAAAATTAGTCTAGCCGAAGAAAATGATTCTGAATACTGTTTTGCTCTCAGAACAAGCAATCGCTCAATGAATATGTTTTTTATTTTACATATATAAAAAATGTTAATAATAATAATTAAAGATAAAATGATGATAAATTAATTAATTATTTATTTATATTAGAAATTTGAATGAATGAATTTGAAGCAATATAGAATTAGTGTGTTTTGATTTGGATTGATTGTGGTGTTGACAAAGGGAAGGGAGCGTGTCGTAGAAGGGGCAATTGAATTCCAAAGCCTTTCTTCCTCTGTCAATCTCTTTCGCAATTTCCCAAAATCCATCGATAGAGGGAGGAAGAACAAAACAACAACATGGTTCTCTCTCAGAAGCTTCACGAAGCTTTCAAAGGCACCGTCGAGAGGATCACTGGCCCTCGCACCGTTTCCGCCTTCAAAGAAAAAGGTGTTCTCAGCGTCTCCGAGTTCGTCACCGCCGGCGACAACCTCGTCGCCAAATGCCCCACCTGGTCCTGGTAATTCCATATATAAATTCAACTTTTCAAAAGGGTTTTTCCATATCACTGATTTCCTCATTTGCACCTTCAATTGAATGATTTTTTAGTAAACCTAGAATTTATCAGTGATTTGTGTGGTTCTGTTTTCCAATAGGGAATCTGGTGAGCCAGGCAAGAGGAAGCCATACTTGCCACCTGAGAAACAGTTCTTGATTACTAGAAATGGTGAGATTAAGATCTCAGAATAATGCCTTTACATGTTCTCTGTTTCATGGTTATGCTGATTTTTTAGTTGCTTAATACTTAACAGTGCCTTGTCTTCGGAGAGCGGCATCTGTTGAAGAGGAATACGAAGCTGCTGGAGGGGAAGTTCTACTCGATGATGAAGATAATGATGGGTGGTTAGCAACTCATGGGAAACCTAAAGGTATATATTCAATTGGACTGGAGACTTTAATTTTTTTTTTCTTTTCTTGTCTATTCAAGCTGAGAAGGACCAGACTTGAGACTTGTATCTTGTGCTTTGGCTTTAATCCTTTTATATTATTTTGCCTTTACTTTTTTTATTGTGTGTATTCAAGAAACCAAATCTGATGAGGATGAGAATTTACCTTCCATGGAAAGCCTGGAAATCAGCGGAAAGAGTCCTATTAAGCAAATTCCTTCCTACATGGGAGCTGACGAGGAAGAAGATATTCCAGATATGGCAGAGTTTGAGGATACTTCCAACGTTATTGAAACTGATCCTGTAAGTTGATACTTGATACCACATTGTTATGCTAATATCAGTTATGCTGCTGTATATTAGTGTCATTTCAGGATACATCAAGGGGAAACCAAAATATATATCATTTTTTTTATATATTTACTATTATAGCTACGCTTTTCCCTCTGTTGTCCTTTAGAAGTATATACTTCTCTAATGGCTGAGATCCTTTATATTCAAATTCAGTTGCCATTTACTGTCTGAATATAACTGATTCTGTGAACATGAGTGTCCAAGTCTTTTTCTAACTCAGAAACTTCAAACTGGAGGTTTAGTGTATATTGATTGAGCATGTTATGCACCAAACCCAGTTGTTTTAGGATTCATTAGGTCATAAAATATAACTGAATCAGTGTGCACCATTGCAACCCCTTTGAGCATTTATAATGAAACCTAGAATGACCGTTGAGACACATTTTTAGATAGGTCTGAGTCTGACTATTCTTAAATAAGCCAATCGACATATAGGCCAACAGGAAACACTATAAAGCAGACTATAAACCATTAAAGACTTTATAGCCTAAAGTTTAACTTTTTTTTTTTTTTTTTTTTTTTTTTTTTTTTTTTTTTTT